TATCAAGCTTAATTTTTTACATTAATTACTAAAATATAAAGGAAAAAGAAAGAAAAAAAACGAATTATATATTAATATGAATTTTTTCCTTTGCTGTACCGGTATTATTTTATAAAGCAGATGCCATCAATAAATGACAAAAAATTCGTCTTACCAGCCACAAGATCATCTGCAACGGATTCCGATTGACACTTAAATATATAGCCAATGAAAAAATCCACATTATTCTCTTTGCAAATAAAACCAAAATGCTCTGGATTTTTAATGCCTTGTACACAACTTGCCACATCTCTAAGTTGTTTATGAAGCAATACCTGTTTCCTATCTGGACTAATTAATCTTAAATCATGTCGGCCTACCTGAAATTTAAACTTATATTAAGATACATTTTACAAGTCATCATACAAGTCTCAAATATCATAAATAGAATAAATTTCAAACCTGGAAGAGCATCGTGCGATTATGTTCATCACCCCCTCGTGCAATGGAATCCCTCCTAGTATTCAATACACTACCCGTGGAGGACGCTCGGTTTCGCATAACTTCCGGTATTTGCATAGAATTATTGTTTGTAACATCTCGATTCTCTTCACGTTCATCTTTTTCTGTAAAGTTAGCGTTTTGTGGTTTTGGAAACGTTTCTACGGATCCCGTGAGTGTTGATGGTACACCAAGTGAGTTAACCACAGGTATGATACCACTTCCAGAAACATTTTCAATACTTCCAGTTTCGCTAGCACTAGATTCCTGAAACAAGAAAATTTTTTTCGATATTATATATATTATTTATTAATTAATTATTAATTACAATCGAGAATGAGAGAATCAAATCATACCGTGCTATTTCTTCTATTATTGGAAGACGTTAAAAGTGATTGTCGCTGATATTCGGCGAGAAAATTATTTGCCGATGATCTCGATTTTTCAAGACCATGAACACGAAATCTTACTAATGCATCATCTATAAAGGTCTCTGATACCTTTGGATGTGATACTTTGATTTTTCCCACATAGAGTACCTGAAAATAAACATTTATCAATTTTAATTTTAAAATAAAATTATTATAAAAATTTATAAAATTTTTCTTTGAATTAAAAGGATTATAAATATTCTCTAATTTCTAAAGATCATTATTTTATTATCATTTTCTTTATTATTCATTTGAAGTATTATTTTGAAGTATATTTAGTAATAGTTATCAGTAATAAAGAAATTAATGATAATAATTAATATACATCTTATTATTATTATATATATTATTATATTAATATATTATATATATATTATTATATAACTTCTACTTTTATTACAAATTCTTTTTTTTTAATAAAAATTTTATATTTAAATAGAAAAAAAAAAGTTTAAAAAATCACCTCAAAAAAATGGGAAGAACTGGGAGATATGTCAGCACCTAAGGACATCAGACTGGCTGCACTACTTTGTGATCTTTGAGGCACATCCCTATTTTCAAATCGAGATGAGGCTGAATGTTCCTTCATGTCTCTTAGGAATTGCTGAACCTAAAAACAAAGAATTACAATCTTTCATGCGATATATTATTATCGTATTTAAGTTGCAATTTAATCTTTATTATACATTACAATAGATAATAATTATATTCATAATTAAGTAATTAAATATTCGTAATTAAAAAATCATTTTATTTTAATTTTAAATTAAAAGTTTATTTAATATTAATTATTGTTTATCTAATATCGAATAATAATTAATTGAATGAAATAGAAAAATTTAAGAATTAAAAAAAAATCAAAAGATTTTTTAAATTATTTTCAAGTTTTTACAAAGCTTATAAATTTACAAAATTTTTCAATAATTTAATTATTATAGAACAATCTAATGAATCATCCATCGCCATATAAATACTAACAATATTTTGAAAAGGAAGATTTGTCCCAAAAATAATCCAGAATGTAGCATCTTAAGAAGTGCATCATTAATATACAAAACTGATTTCGCAATAAAACGTGAACCAAACGTGGCTGATGACCGTGGACTAAAATAAATTCAATTTCAGACTATTCATCAATCAATGTTTTCTAATCTTTTTCTTTTTCTTTTCAATATTTTTTTTTCTAATTTTCTCATATTTCATTAAATTATGAATTCGTTATTTATTATCTTTATTTTTATCTTTTATTATATTTATTTTTTAAATGTTATATTCATTTATTATATATAATGTTAACCTTAATTTAAATAATTCGATATTCATGATCACTAAGTTATTTCAAATAATAAAATTAAAATAATGCGACTTCTATATAACATTTGATACAAGACAACTTTTTTAGTTCAAAAATCAGTTACGATATTTCTTAATATTTTATTTCTATTTGTGCAGCAACTTGCATAGTGCTGCTACTACGTACTAAGGTAGAATTTCAAACTAAGATAAATTCTTCGTGCATCGACAAATGTTCATCCAAGCGTTAGCAGTAAGGCTATCTAAGAGTTAGGTTACATTGATTTTCATAAATAATCTCACGTGAAATACACAAATTCTTTTTTCAAATTACAGTGAATGTATAATAATATTATAAATGAATACATACGTGTATGTGAAACATAAAAAGAAAAAGAAAGAGATAGAAAAAAAAATGAAAACAAGAAGACATAATATAAACTTCGTAAGAAAATTCGGGAATAGGGAAATAATCATGGGTAACCATGAACATTTCTGATATTAGAGAATTAACAATTAGCAAAATAAAACAATGAACAATTTAAATCGCGATGTATCGAAAATTAGCGAACAGAAACGCATTGAATGGATCGATGAAAATGATCAGAAAACAATTTATATCAATGAAAAAAAAATTATTCTAACGGATAGTTATCTCAATGGCCGTGAGAGTCTTCTTGGCTATGACAAAGAATTTCACCAGTATTTAGTTGCTGACACAGAAAGCAGATTGGCATAAAGCAATGGGGCTTCCTTTATCCAATTACTAGACGAGCTTTCTTTTTTATCATCCGGCTGACTCTTTCTCCTCCTACAAAATATGTACGACTAATACTTGATACTCATTCGATTACAATTTGTACACAAGAATGTATAGATATTGAAATTAACAAGATAATATTTTGTTAAATGCTTTCTTTTTTTAATCTTATGAAAGTTGAAAAAATGTTTAAAATGAATGGATATATAAATTATACTCTTGTGTAATTATTTTATTAGATAAACTTTTTTTATTATAAATTATTTGGAAATGATAAGAAATAAATAATCATAAAAAAATTACAATAGATGATAAATATAAATCTAGTTACATGAAAAACTATCACAATTGGTAGAATCTATTGAATTGTGATTTAATAGGTCATAAGAAAACTATTATAACTTCTCTTCTTACTTCTCAACTCAATTATACTTAACAAGAAGATCCTTGAATTGGATATAAATAACTTATTTCCTGTCGTCACATGTAAGTATAGTAACTATACAATAAGAAATCTTGCAAAATTATTTTCATCTATTAAATAAGTCTCTGGAAAAAAAAGCTAAGACTATTAAATCTTCAATAATTTCTAATATTTAATTCTTCTTCAATGAATAATTTAAAATTCTAATATAGTGTATTAATCTAATATAATATAAAATTCTAATCTAAAGTTTAATTTTCTATGTTTCTTATATTTACTAGCTACAAATACAAATAAAAGAATTTTGAAATTTTCACGAGATCTTTAAGTATTTTTAAATATATTATATCTATTATGTTTCTTCATCTTTTCAGGTTTGAATTTTAATATAAATTTTATATTGTCCAATTGATCATCGTCAATTTCAAAATATATAAATACATGCGATCATCAAAATAAACACAAGTGTACGTCATAATGTTGGTCGATTAAGCGCTTGTAGAAAATTGGATTGAATATCTTCAAGAACGACTCATTGAACTATTTCATCGAGTTGTAGTTAAATCGAAACGATATATTTTATACATCTGCTCCTGAACTAAAGATGCCTCATATGATCGACGATCGTGAGAAAAGAGGCGAAGAAATCGTATCTATCAGTTTTTCAATGTGCTTTATGGCCTAGAATTAATAAGATTCAGTGTACATGCAATCTCGCGTCCGTGAATGAAATTATTATTGATGATGATATACATATTTTTTCTTAATAATAAATATTATTTTTAAAAATTAAAAAAATTTAATTTATTGCAATTATATGTATTATTTTTAAATACTTCAGATAAATGATTAATAAATTTTTTATTTTCAGGTTTGAATTTTAATATAAATTTTATATAATTATCAATTTCAAATCTCTCAAGACTATTATAAAGATCAATTTATAAAAATATATTTCGAAGATTTATTTAATAAATTGATCTGATCGCTCAGAATAATATTTTTTGCGCATGTTCATTCATTATTATAATTATATATTATAATTATTTTTAATTAAAACATGTGTTTCGTAAGTATTTTAAAAAGTACATGAAATCGAAATATTAATTTTTTTTCTTTTGTGTTTTTTTTAATTACAGTTTTATTAACTATTAGCTATTGTAAATGATTTATCATTAAGTAAATTTTCTTCAACACAAACAATCAAATATTAATAATTGATGAATAGACATGTAATGAAAATATAATTGAAATTGTCAATGGCAATAAATGATAACAATATAGATTTATACAAGTGTTAAATATAACAAAGTTCATTCAAAATAGTTATTCTAATTAAAAAATTCTACAAATATAATAATGTAAGAAAACATATATTGTGTATGTTCTATAAATTATACTACATACATTATTATACATAATAATACCATATATTTTTATAAAAATAATCAAAGTAAATAATTTATTTTTTATTTATTATTTAATTAATTTATTTTTATATATATTATATTAAATATAAATTTTAATTTATATTAATTTTATATTATTATATTAATTATTATAATATAATTATATTAATTAATAATATTAATTTTTATAATTTTAGAACTATATAAATATTTTTATCCTATATACATATATTTAGTATGAAAAGAAACGAGAATTTTTATGCGTGCCATATATTGACCATAATTAAATCCTAATTGCTGAAGTTCGGTTTTGATGCTGAAAAAAGAAAACTTGGATCGTATAAATAACTATATACATAAGGTCTTTGATCCTAGTTGACACAGTTTCTATTGAAATGTAGAATACATCATGCGTGTCTACGAACATTTTTAGTGATTAAAATAAGAATCATTGATGCTTAAACATCATATACAATGCGTATAAATTTTCATTCATTTAAACTTAAAGTATATAATTTTATGTGAATTTTTCCATTATTAGTAAAAAGGCTAATTTCTTTGAATTAATTATATATTTCTTGTTAAATATTTTTTTTTATTCTTTAAGTTGTCAAAAACTATATGATTATAATTAAATAAACTTAATAATCAAATGAATATTTTGTATCAAAACAAAATACAATACAATAAATGTTTATATTTAATATAAGAGCGCATAAGTATCAAATAAATATAATTAAAATAATAAAAAGATAAATTAATTCTTCTGAATAAAGAATAGAGACATATTTAATTTTATTTAAATTATTTTTAGGTAACAAGACATTTCTTATAAAACAACTATGAAAAGATAGTAACGTAAAGATGCATAGCATACTTCTTGCACGTACTTATATACTATGAAACGGCAATAAAGAGGAAAGAGAAAGAATGCAACGTATCTGCTACGTGACCAAATTAACATTAAGTCCAAAAGAAACAGCTATGTAAGTACTGTCAATCTAACAAGTAACGTGAGTTCCTACACGCAACAAACAAGCAAATTGTATTATATCTTATTATTGATAGATATTTTGTTATAGAAACTACTGTAATGAAAGTAATTATTTTAACGCTTTAATAAATATGCTTTTTTTTTTAGATCGGATTCATGGACAGGAAATTGATTCGTAACTACGTAAATCAATTGAAACGCCCATTTCTTCTCTTTTTATTATCGTATATTCTTGCGGTTGTCATCAAGAATTCGAAGAACCGCAGCGAATCGTGAAAGCAGACACTGGTACGTGATCGAAATGCCATAACTTTGGCACGAGATCCATGAATACCAGCAAAATTCGTGACGGAACTCGAATACGTTAGTCGAACGACTCCTTGCGCTTATCGCACATTTATGAAATTCTGGTTCTTACTAGATATACCTGGTCATATGTTTTTTCAATTAACACGCTCTAATCCTGCTTGTTTATTTGAGACGAAGATGCTTCCAATGATTTTTGCAAACTATAATTTTTAGATGAATATAGTCTATAAAATGTTGAACTACGAAATGCAAGATATAGAATATGCAAAAGATGAAATGAGATGGAGATTATAAGAGTATTAAGATTGTTTGAAAATTCATACGATTACATAAAATGCACTTTTATTAGATTTCATAATCCTAATTTCAAATCGTAGTATTTTTTAAAAGAAAGATTATTTGATTTCAAATATATATGCAAGTACAAAATGAGATGTGAATATTCAGTAATACTCATAAGCAATAAAGATAAATAATATTTATTTTTTTGTTAATAATGCAATTAGTATTTTCTATCGGTCATCTTTTCGTTTTTTTAAACTCATCACAAAGTTTTCACGATGCACAAAAAAAAGTAAAAGAAAAAGATAGATCAAAATTAATATATAAAAATAATATAAAATAAATTATTAAGAAATATATTATTAAAAAGTATAAGAATAAAAATAAATTTTTTTAAATCACGTTGATTAATTAATATTTTTTAATTTTGAAGTTAATTTATTTTTTAATATTTTCATAATCGTTAAATTAAATGACAATTAAAATTGCCTATTATTTAATGAAAAGATCTGAATAAAATTTCCGAAAAACAAATTTAACATATCAATTATTTATTTGAAAAATAATAATATATTTTTAAATGTTTAATATTTATAATGTTTAATATTATTTTTAATATTTTGTGAAAAATAATTTTTAAATGTTTTTTTGATATATTGATTGTAAATATAATTTCTCTAACAAACTTCAACATTAATTTTGCACCCAAATTTTACCTGATCATTATTTAAATGAATTCAAGAATTCCTAATTGTCCTTAGAAATTCTATTTTTATTTTCTAATCGTATATAACCTAGAAATAATCATATTTTTTAATTTTGCTAATTAACAAATATTTGATATTAATAATAATTCAATTGATTAATGTAGTTGTTTGTAAATTCAAATTCAATTATTTCAATATTCCATTTTTCTTTTAATAAATGCTAAATTATAAAAAATTCATATATAAGATAAATAATTTATTGTTCGTATAAGAAAATATAAAAATATAAAAATAATGTGCATAATAATTAACAGGAATAAATCGTATTAAATAAAGTACATCACATTGATACATTTTAAAATCTAAAAACGAATCAAAATCATTAGTTTTTCAAAACATAGAAGTGAATAGTCACTTCTAGTGAGAGGTTCCAATCATGAAATAATTACATCAAACTTGATTTACACGCGTTTCACATTTTATATAACTTTCACCACTTTATACAAAATAGAAATGAGAATGCATTGTCTTATGGAAGGTAAAAATATTCTTGTTCTCAAAAAACAACAAGTTTTTTTTGTTTGATATTTAAGAAATACATATTATAAATATTATAAATACGTATTATAAAAAGGTTAAAATACTTTTTTACAAAGAAAAGCAATATTTTTTTACCAAATAATCGGAACACGGTCACTCAACGGATATTGGCAGAGATTCTTCGTTCGTTCGCCATTATAAATTTAGATCTACAATATACCGGATTTCACGAATATAAGCTTCATCGACAATAACTACGCAAATGGATGTGTGTGTGTGTGTGTGTGAAGGAAAAAACAATTAATAAACTTTTTCTATATGTGATTAAAAAATGAATAAATGATAAATTGATAAGAATGAATATTGATGAAATGAAAATAATATATATATATATATATTTATAACAAAATATTAGTATTGATTAACGACATGTATTCTTCAATCATCTATATTTGATGATAATAATAATCTTTAAATATAAAATAAATAAAAAAAATACATTCTCTTTTTAGGAATAAATTTTCATTTCATGTATTATTATTAAAATTTTACCAATCATATCAAAAATTTGAAAATAAAAATTTCATTATGATATACTTTATTATATTCATTATGATTACTTTATTATTTTATTGTTTCTATTGGATATCTGATAAAATTGATATATAATTTTATTTTTTATTGAAATTTTTTGACTATTTTTTAATTAAAATGATCTTTTTTAATAATTTTATTCTATAAAGATTATATTAATTCAAGATAAAATTCAATCATAAACAGTGGATCGTAAATCATGTTGGCATGCCTGTTGAGAAATAGAACGAATAATGGGCTAAATGTCATACGAGAAGTAACAATTGTCTTAGAATAAATAAAGATATAAAAAAAAAAGCTAAAAAAAGTAAAAAAAAAAAAGAAAATTAAATATTTTATTTTGTTTTTTTATATCTTTTGATTTTGATATTTGTAAAAAATAAAATTTTTTATAAATAAAATTATTCTATATACATAAACTAAAAAATATAAATTAAAGTATAAATTTGTTAACAGATTTTTTTTGATTTATTCAAAAATATAATATAATTATCAATAAATATATGATAAATATATAACAAAATATTAAATTTTATGAAATTTATTTTCTATTTAATAATATGAAATGAAAAAAATAATTTCTTCATTCTTAAGATATATATCTTTCAAAAAAATGTTAAATTATATATATATATTTTTTATAATAACTATTTCCTAAAATAATCTTCATTATCTAATATTAATTGTACTTTAATTGTAATTTGATTTTATTATTATATTATTATTTCGTTTTAAATAGAAATTAATTTCAACGATTCTTATCCTGTCTCATTTTATCAGTCTATCAATAATTGAGTAATTTATGTAAAAAAAAAAAAGAAAAAAAAATAAAACAAAAACAAAAAAAAAGAAAAAAAAGCAAATAAAAAATTCATTTGAATAATTTCGAAATAAAAAATTAGATTATAAATAGTTTCTTGATCTACTCACTGCAGGCTTTTTGCCAATAGCGCTTGCATCGCTGTAGGACGTAACCTTCATGTAAGGATTGGAAACAGACATGGGTATAGTGATCATTTTTTTGTCCTTTATTTCTCCACTTTTCTTCCATTCGCCCACCAAGAAATCGAATGCGAGTTTAGTTGTCACGATAGATTATAATATATCACTCAAATAATCGAAATTTTGCCATTTTTTTTCGATCATTTCCGGTAACAAAATTTTTCTCGGAGATCAAGAAAATAATTCGTTCGATATGAAAAACAATGTTTCTTAAACCAGTTTATTATTCTCTTATTTCACATTATCAGATATATTACAATTTTTCTAATTTATCATTAAAAACTTTATTCATTTACTTATGATGCTTCCTTGAATGCTTAAAATAAATGACAAGAACGATTTTAAAAATTTTTTTCAAACAAAATTCACTATATTGATAACGAATAAAAAATGATTTTTCAATTGAATTTGCAACTACTTTCAAGCATTAGATATTGTTATAATATATATTATTAAATTTAATCTCAAATTTTCTATAACAAATTTCATTATTTTTTTCAATATTCTTTTAGTATTTTCACTAGACTGAAAAACGCAGGAAATTTATTTTTTTTTTTTTATATAGTTTAGCGAATTGAATTTATTAAAAAAACGTTTATCATTTTATTTAATATAATTTGATATAGTTTTAATTTGTTTATCAAATGGATTTTGATATCATTCTCAAATATTTCTCAAATATTTCTCAAATATTTTATTAATTCGTTAATCTGTTTTATTTAAAGTTACACACGGATACTTTTGAAAGAAATTACGATGTAACTATCACATCTCAAGCAAGCATAACACTGATTTAATCATGGATTAGCGTGTGAATTTTCTTAGTTCGATCAAAACGACATGTTTTAAGATCACTAGACTTTCGCACACCTTTACCAACAGACGAACAAACATCGACTGAGCGCGACTCAGTACCTAAGGTTTAAATGAGTGAACCCTCCCTATTGGTTGTCGCATGTCTACAGTTAATGCTAATAGATTATAAAAAACACTAAAAATGATCATCATAATGGATGCCAAGATGGATATCATTTTATTACCAAATATTTGTTTCACTTTGTTTATTCTTTGTACACATTTCATTTCTTATATGTTTATTATCAGAAAATATTATAAGATAATTTATTAAAAACAAAAGATAAAAATAATATTTTTTAAAAATGATTTATATTTTTTTGATATATGTTTTTATGAAATGATAAAAATTAATTGATTTTTTAAATAATAGAAAATAATTTTTCTATTTATGGAATTTTAATAGAAACAGACAAAAAATCAATTTAGAAATTATTTAATATTTTATTTTTACATTTATTTTCTTGAAATTAGATTTAATTGTAAATTATATTTATGTAACATAAAATCATAAAATAATTGAAAGACAGAAATACAATTATAATTTCAGAAATTTTTTATTTTTATTTTCTCTATAAGAAGCAATAACTGTATGTAAATGTATATATGTGAAAAGTGTTTAATAATTCATTAATCTCATATCATTATTTAAGATATCATTATAAGTTTGTTAAATTGAAAGTAAAATTATATGAGACATTAATAATCATATTTGTGATTCATTATTTTTCTTTAAAGAAAAGAAGAATCAAATAATTACAAATTAAAAATATGCATTAAATATGACTTCATTTTTACATAATTGTATTTCTATGTTAGATTTCACTTTAATAAATTTTAATAAATTTATGTATCTTTCATTCGTAACAATATACAATTTAATTTATAATCAATTAAAGGATATTTAATGAATTCGTCATTTGATATCAAAATTCATTCAAGTCATTTTGATATACAAAATATTTCTTATTTTCATGTCAAAGTAATTATTAATATATAAATAATTCTCAATTATATTATATAAATTCTTTATTCTAAAATTTTTACAATGAAATTAGATAAAAATAAATATTTAAAAATTTTTTATGTTTTAATTAATTAGTTTCCAAATTTCTTGGAATATATTTATTAATATATATTTATTAATATTATATTTATTAAAAAAAATGAAAAGAATATAATAATCATAATATATAAACAATAATCTCTCATTCTTGCTTAATATATTTAAAATTAAATTCTTAATTAAGTTTTTAATAATAAATATAATGTTATTTTTATTATGTTTAACAACAAATAATTATAATACATAATTGATTTTAAATATAGAGAAGCAAGATTCTAAAAATATTCGAAACATCGAAACCGT